TAATGTTTCTTTTTGTACTATTGTTGCCAAAAAGTCCAAATAATGGCCAAAGAGAAGAAATATGACACTGCCATACAGAAATGATGGAACAGAATACATTTAAATGTCTCATGTCAGAGTGGTGACAATCAAGTTCAGGGTTATTATGAAAGGAAACAAGCTCTAAGAGGAAAATTAGCAAGTTCACTTCATGAAGGGGGTAGGCAACAAAGAAAGGTACTGTAGAAGTTTCAGTTTATATTTTCTCAAACTGAAGTGTGAGAAGCCTTGAGTTTAGGACAGACTTTTAACTCTGAAAAATACGGGCCATCGTAAGATATTTCAGTGTAGAAGATTTTGCTTATTTTCCATTTACTTCAATGATGAGGTTTTTTAATAGGATTAGATAACTGATTCCTCAGAATTGGCAGGCCCACTGTCCTGAGTGATAGAGGCCATAGGAAGCACCTTGAAAGTACACTTAGATATCCTGGATAGAAAAACTCTTCCACTTTGCTGCTATTACCAGAAGAATATGATTATATTACCAGCAGAAAAATGTTACATTATGAACCAGAAGTTTTCCTGTACTATAAACTTGGGAAAACTGCCAAAATTGTTAATATATCAGATCTTACTGTAAGATCTTTAGATGTACCTGTCTTCACTCACTGAGTAAAATAACATCCAAAGCCTATGTTGCAGGACCATCACGGAATTTCAAAAGACATAAGACACATTTCCTAGGAAACAGGAAATTAGGAAATACTAGAATGCCTCTACAATCTGAGTGTGACAGCATTCCATCCATATAGTAGAGTGCAATTTTAATTTCACCATCACATACTGTGTTTTTCCGCAGAGCTCCTACCTCATTCTGGCAGTGATTAGTTATTCTGTATTTAATTTTTTTAAAAAATCAGTGTCTGGCCCAGGCTTACTTAACTTTTCTGAATCCTGTGTTGAATGCAAAAGTTTTCTATGGACACTTCTGTGCCTTAAAGGAAAAGTATTATGCAAACAGTGTTAGATACATATTTGCACCATTCCTATGAAGCTGGGTGTACTATACCCATTTTACAGAAAGGGAATGAGAACAAAATTAATTATATCTCAGACTGGCAGAAAGGCCTTTTTTGGATGCCTAACCTGAAAAACGCCTGACTTGTCAGATAACCTATTATTTCTAGAGACATTTGTGCATTCAAAACAGAAATTTTGACATTGTTTTAAAGTGATTTTGTTGAATGTGTAGAAAAATATACTATATACAAGTGCATGAAGAGTGAAACTACTTTCATTTCCTCATTGTCTCATACATGAAGTAAAAATAAGTTTTCTTCTCTGTGTAAGCAGGAATTTTATATAAAACATTAAAACAATAAAAAGTAATTACTCTACAGTAAATATTCTGGAATAAAAATAAGACTATCAGCTCATAAAACATCTACTTTTGCATGTTGCAAAAGCAAACATGAAAGTTATGATTTACCTGTACCTTTGGAAATACATTATAAACCAAATATAATTTTCTTTTTATCATGACTGCAGAAAATAAGTTATCTT